TTATTTGAAAAGATAAATAAAATTGATAGACCATTAGCAAGATTAACCAAGGAAAGAAGAGAGAAGATCCAAATAAGCTCAATTAGAAATGAAACAGGAGTTATTACAACTGATACCACAGAAATAGAAAACATTATTCAAGTCTACTCTGAACACATTTACCCATATAAACTAGAAAATCTACAGGAGATGGATAAATTCATGGAAATATACAATCCCCTTAGATTAAACCAGGAAGATATAGAATCTTTGAACAGACCAATAACAAGCAGCAAGATTGAAATGGTAATTTAAAAATTGCCAACAACAAAAAAAGTTCAGGATCAAATGGATTCACAGCTGAACTATCCAACATTCAAAGAAGAATTGGTACCAATCCTATTGACATTATTCCAAAAGATACAGAAGAGGGAATCCTCCCTAAATCATTCTATGAAGCCAGTATCACCCTAATACCAAAACCAGAGAAGGACATAACAAAAAAGAGAGAAAACTACAGACCAATATCCCTGATGAACATAGATGAAAAAATCCTCAACAAAATACTAGCAAACCAAATCCAAGAGCATATCAAAAAGATAATCCACCATGATCTAGTAGGTTTCATACCAGGTATGCAGGGATGGTTTAACATATGCAAGTCAATAAATGTGATACACCACATAAACAGAATTAAAAACAACAATCAATCACATGATCATCTCAATAGATGCAGAAGAAGCACTTGACAAAATCCAGCATCCCTTTATGATTAAAACCCTCAGCAAAATTGGCATAAAAGGAACATAATTTAAGGTAATAAAAGCTATCTATGACAAACCCACAGCCAACATTATACCGAACGGGTTTTGAAAGCATTCCCCCTGAGAACTGGAACAAGACAAGGATGCCCAATCTCACCATGTCTATTCAACATAGTACTGGAAGTCCTAGCCAGAGCAATCAGACAAGGAAAAGAAATAAAGGGCATCCAAATTGGTAAAGAGGAAATCAAACTGTTGCTGTTTGCTGATGATATGATCATATACCTAGAAAGCACTAAAGACTCATCCAAAAAGCTCCTAGAACTCGTAAATGAATTCAGCAAAGTTTCAGGATACAAACTTAACATACACAAATCAGTAGTGCTGCTCTACACCAACAGTGACCAAGCTGAGAATCAAATCAAGAACTCAACTCCTTTCACAATAGCTGCCAAAACAAACAAACATACAAACAAACAAACGTAGGAATATACTTAATCAAGGACTTGAAAGACCTCTACAAGGAAAACTACCAAACACTGCTGAAAGAAATCTTAGACAACACAAACAAATGACCATATTCTCAAAAGCAATCTACAAATTCAATGCAATTCCCATCATTCTTCAGAGAACTAGAAAAAAAAATCCTAAAATTCATATGGAACCAAAAAAGAGCCCACATAGCCAAAGCAAGACTAAGCAAAAAGAATAAATCTGAAGGGATCATATTACCTGACTTCAAACTATACTATATGGCCATAGTCACCAAAACAGTATGGTATTGGTATAAAAATAAACACATAGACCAATGGAACAGAATAGAGAACCCAGAAATAAAGCCAAATACTTATAGCCAACAGATCTTCGACAGAACAAACAAAAACATGAAGTGGGGAAAGAACACCATATTCAACAAATGGTGCTGGGATAATTGTCAAGCCACATGTAGAAAAATGAAACTGGATCCTCATCTCTCACCTTATACAAAAATCAACTCGAGATGGATCAAAGACTTAAATCTAAGACTTGAAACTATAAATTTCTAGAAGATGACATTGGAAAATCCCTTCTAGACATTGGCTTAAGCAAAGACTTCATGACCAAGAACCCAAAAGCAAATGCAACAAAAACAAAGATAAATAGATGGGACTTAATTAAATTAAAAAGCTTCTGCACAGCAAAAGAAATTATCAGCAGAGTTAACAGACAACCCTCAGAGCGGTAGAAAATCTTCACAATCTATATATCCAACAAAGAACTAATATCCAGAATCCACAAAGAACTCAAATCAACAAGAAAAAAAAAAATCCCATAAAAACGTGGGCTAAGGGCATGAATAGACAATTCTCAAAAGAAGATATACAAATGGCCAACAAGCATATGGAAAAATGCTCAACATCACTAATTATCAGGGATACACAAATGAAAACCATAATGCGATACCACCTCATTCCTGCAAGAATGGCCATCATCAAAAAATCAAAAAATAATAGATGTTGGCATGGATGCAGTGAAAAGGAAACATTTTTACTATGGAAAACACTGTGGAGAGTCCTTAAAGAACTAAAAGTAGATCTACCCTTTGATCCAGAAATCCCACTTCCAGGTATCTACCCAGAGGAAAGGAAATCATTGTACAAAAAGATACTTGCACATGTATGTTTATAGCAGTACAATTTGCCATTGCAAAAATATGGAATCAGCCCAAATGCCCATCAACCAACGAATGGATAAAGAAAATGTGTGTATATACCATGGAATACTACTCAGCCATAAAAAGGAACAAAATAATGGCATTCACAGCAACCTGAATGGAATTAGAGACTATTATTATAAGTGAAGTAACTCAGGAATGGAAAATCAAATGTTATATGTTCTCACTCATGTGGGAACTAAGCTATGAGGATGCAAAGGCATAAGAATGGTATGTTGGACTTTGGGGACTTGGGGAAAGAGTAGGAGGTGTCAAGGGACAAAAGACTATGCATTGGGTACAGTGTACACTGCTTGGATGCTCCAAAGCAGCATCCAAAATCTCACAAATCACCACTAAAGAACATTCATGAAACTAAACACCACCTGTTCCCCAAAAAATTACTGAAATAAAAAAATAAAAATTTTTAAACAGTTTAAAAAATAAAATAACACTGGATAGTAACGCAAATCCACAGGAACAAATGCAAAAAATATATAAACAAGAAGGTTAGTATAGTAAATACTATAAATATGTACTTGCTCGTCTTTCTTAGCTTAATTAAAATGCACAGTATTATATAAATAATCAATCATAACATCAATTATAACAATGTCTTTAATATATGTAGTTGTAATACACATAATAGTGCAAAAATGTTGAAGAAGGAATAACGCTATATGGGAGTCATATTTCTGTACTTCACTGGAATTTGATTAGTATAAACTCCAGTAGAATCTAAAATTGACTGTAGTCAGAACTACACAAATATGTCAACATCTTAAAAAACATTGAATTGAACATTTTACATAAGCATATAGCATGATATGTTATTTATTTTGTAAAAATATCTCAGTGAATTCCAGGCAGGATCATATTTAAAAAGAATTAAAGCAATGAGAGGATACGGTAAGGGAGGAAACATGAATGTTACTAGATTGTAAATTACTTTAGTACATAGATTCTCTTCCTAAATGTTTAACCTTATCTCCCCTAAAATGCTCTTCTCATTGCCTTCCTTCTTATTATCTAAGAATCTTTGCATACTCACTTGAAATGAACCATTCCTTCTTATGTGTACTAGTTAGAGTAATAATCGGAGAGGCTAAAATATGACTGCTCATATTCCCTATTTTTATGTTTCTATAGATCTGCTTATGTTCACAAAATATAGCTGTGTACTTATGGAAAATACGTTCTTATGTGTCTCGGTTCATTTTGGTAATGGTGCCTCAGCTGGTCCATATTTTGGTTTAGATTTCACTGGTGGTATATTTGGGCTTCAGATGTTACACTGTAAAACTTAACATTTATTCAAGAGCTCAGACATTTGTTCAGAGCAAAACTTTACTCTGTGGTATCTGGGTCATTATAGGTTTCCAACTTTAGCATATAGTCTGCTATAAACAACTTTCTCTCACAAAATATTAGGTCCACCATTTGACCCAAGTCACCCATTCTAATTTTCCCTTTTCAATATGAACTCGCCTTTCATAACTTTCATGTATTTTTCCTTTTATGTGACCTAGTCAGTAGTTTTCAAATCTAGCAAAAGATTCAAATCACATAAAAACTCCAGTGGAAAGGAATGCAATCTCAATGCTTATGCTACTACAAGTTTACTTACTTCATCCTCCCCAGCTACAAAGTCTACAAACTCAAGAAGATATGAAAGTCACATTTTCATATTCCACAAAATATCTAATTTTTTTCTACATTATTTATCCATACTTGATTTATAATTACAAATCTTAGAAATGACATGAAGTCTTTATGGACAAATCAAAGCACTTTGCCCCACAATAACTCTCTGTGACTGTGGAGACCATGATTTGCAAATTGACCTATTCTTAAAAATGTTATGTTTTATCTCACCAGGTACATCCCACAGTAGATAGTGCTATTGGTGTAAAATTTAAAGTTATATTATCATCATAAACTTTCTAGGATAATTTTAGTTTGCATAAGAGATGCCATTATATAGTAAAGTCACTGGTTAAGGAATTACAAAGTGTCGGTTTGTGCATCAGTTTTGTCATTATCTTGATGTGGTCTTGTTCAAATCATGAAACATCTTTGAACTTCAATATAATAGGCTTTATGATTGCTAATAGCCCTTCAAATTCTGTTTTGTGATGCTTACTGCAATAAGACATTATATTGCGACTCTTCTACTATAATAATAAATACTACACATGCATACACACACATAAAATGTTTACCTTATAAAATATATTGAAATCTGCTTTATTTCTATAGAGACTAATAAGGATCTCTTAGCAGATGCTATTGGACTATTGGACGAGGTATAATAAAGGGGTCAATTAAAACACAATTTAAATGTCACCCAGGTAAAAAAAAATTCAAGACTAATATTTATGGTTTATTCATATCCCTGGAGTTAAATTAAGTATGAACCTTTAATGACAATAGTACCAATATGTTAGTATTATATAGGTGAAATTCTGAATGAATATCCTCCTATAATTAAACACACACATATACTCAGAGATATGGTAATGTTTATCTTACAAAATATATTGGTATCTGTTTTATTTCTACAGAGACTGATAAGGAACACTTGGCAGATGCTATTCGAAGAGGTATAATAAAGGGATCAATCAATGCACAACTAAAAGGTCATCAGGGTAAGAAAAAGAATTTCTTACATCTAATATTTATGGCTGATTTATATTCCCTGAGTTAAATTAAGTATAGACCTTTAATAACAAAATATCTATATTATAGTGTTACATAAGTAAAATTATTCATGAATATCCTCCTATACTTAAACACACAAACACACACAAGTATGGTAATGATAACCTTACAAAGTATACTGAAATCTGTTTTATTTCTATAGAGACTGATAAGAACTTCTTTGCATATGCTATTGGAAGAGGTGTAAGGAAGGAGTCAATCAAGACACAATTAAAAAGTCACCCAGGTAAGAAAAAGCAATTTCAAGACTAATATTTATGGTTTATTTATATTCCTGGAGTTAAATTAAGTGTGGACATTTAATGACAATAGTACCTATATGTTATTACACAGGTAAAATTCTTCATGAATATCCTCCCATAATTAAACACACACACACACACACACACACACACACAGAGGTATGGTAATGTTTACCTTATAAAATATATTGAAATCTGTTTTATTTCAATAGAGACTGATAAGGAATTCTTGGTAGATGCTATTGGAAGAGGTATAATAATAGGGCCAATCATTAGACAACTGAAGAGTCACCAAGGTAAGAGAAAGAATTTTTCAAGTCTGATATTTAGGCTTATTTATATTCCCTGAGTTAAATTAAGTATAGACCTTTAATGACAACAGTACCTATATCATAGTACTTTCCATAGCAAAAGATGCTATTGGAAGAGATATAATAAAGGGACCAATCAATGCACAATTAAAGAGTCACCAGGGTAAGAAAAAGAATTTTTGAGTCTAATATTTGTGACCTATTTATGTTCCCTGAGTTAAATTAAGTGCAGACCTTTAATGACAACAGTGTCTACATGTTATTATTACATAGGTACCTATATCATAGTGTTACATTGGTAAAATCCTTCATGAATATCCTTCTATAATTAAACACACATGTATACACATGTATAGTAATGTTTACCTTATAAAGTATTTTGAAATCTGTTTAATTCTATAGAGACCGATAAACAACTCTTAAAAGATGCTATTGGAAGAGACACAATAAAGGGACCAATCAATGCACAATTAAAGAGTCACCAGGGTAAGAAAAAGAATTTTTGAGTCTAATATTTGTGACCTATTTATGTTCCCTGAGTTAAATTAAGTATAGACATTTCATGACAATAGTGCCTACATGTTAGTGTTACATAGGTAAAATTCATCATGAGTATCCTTTAATTAAGCTCTAGCATTTACTATCAGTGGAACATTAGCATATTATTGATTTTAAAACTCATCCATTTGAAAAGTAATGCATAAAAATTCAGTGTTACAGTTACCTTAGAGTAGTCTCAGTGTAGGCATTTCCAAAGCTATTCTACTTACTTTTTGTTTCTGAAAAGTGATGTTTAATTAGCAAAAGCAGAAAGGCAAAAGCAGAAAGGCTAGCTGAAGACTGTGATGACAAGAGGAGTACAACACATAACTATTTCACTGTTTATCCATTCCCTCTATTTGACAAAAATGTCAGGCAAATTTATAAAATCTCACCTACAATACAGTACTTTATTTGTGTTACCTAATTCAAAGATTACACTACTGACTTTCATCTTGGTGTAAGGTTGTTACGTAGTTATACAATTTTCTTTGATCTCTGGTGTGATACAAAAAGAGGCAGACAGCTAACAGAGAAACAATGTAAAGAGACACATTCGAAGCTGGCCCTCTAAAACCAGTGTTATCCAAGGTACTGGATGCATGTGCAAGGTTCTGCCCCTTGGAGAGCAGCAGTAGCACTTCACACTATAGGCAAGAGACTTTGGTAGAATGGCCCAGTCACATCGCTATGCAAATAATAAGGAGAGAACAACGACAAGCCCTAGACAGAGGAGGAGGAAATCAGTATCTGGAGATGCTACAGTATATTATGGAAACTGTCAAATCTTTAGCAAAAATTATTAATATGTAAAGAAACAGTGAAGTGTGACCTACACCAAGGAAAAGGGCATGCCACAATAACTGTTTGTGAGAGTCCCAGGTGTTGGACCTAGCCAGCGAAAGCTCAAAGCACTTATTACAAGTATGTTCTTAGAGTTAAAGGAAATTATTCTTAAGGAAGAAAAGGAAGGTAATAGAGATTAATATCAAATAAGATGGAAATTTCAAAAGATAACACGGCAAAGCCCTGTCTCTAAAAAAAATACAAAAATTAGCCAGGTGTGGTGGTGCACACCTGTCATCCCAGCTACTTGGAGAGGCTGAGGCAGGAGGACCACTTGAGCCCAGGAGGTTGAAGCTGCAGTGAGCCATGTTCACACCTCTGCACCCCAGCCCGAGTGACAGAACGAGATCCTGTTTCTAAATAAAAAAAAAAAAAAAAAAAAAAAAAGGAGGAAAAGAAAAAAAAAAGAAATTTCAAAAGAAAAAAGAACTAAAATACATATGTAACATAAATGGTTACCTTACAGAGTGTTTTGAAATTTATTTTATGTCTATAGAGACTGATGTAGAACCCTTGACAAATGCTATTGGTTCAAGTAAAACAATTGGTGAGATAAAGACACAACTAAGGACTCACTATGGTAAGAATAATAATTTTAAGTCTAATATTTACAGTTTAGTTATCTTCTCTGGGGTTTTAGAGTGAATCTTTAATGATAACAGTACCTATATTTCATGGGCAAATGTCTTCATGAATTTTCTCTTATAATTAAACTCTCATATTATCAATGAGAAATTAGCTAGAAAGTTTTAAAACTTCTAGACAATGATTTTTTTAAAAAATATGAGGTTTATAATTCTCTGTTTAAATAAATGTTTTCTACAATAATCCATGTTACTTTTATAACAATAGGATTAATGAAAAATAAATCTAATAAACATTGGTTGAATTGGGGCAGGGAGGGATCCAGTAGCTTATGCATAGACCTCTGACCTCCAAAACTATCTTTCTAAATGTATCCTTTCAAATGTAGACTACGGATCAATTATAGAAATGAACATTTGGTCAAACTAACATGAAGTTGGGATAAAGGTTGAAATTAAGGAAGATACTATCACAGAATGCAGAACAAAGACGAGAAAGAGAAGATGATGAGAGACTACATAGAAATTTAAGTAATAGACAAGTGGCCATTTAATAAAATGTGGGAAGAAAAATTACCAGTGCAGAAATAGAGACAAATACGTGGAGTTGGGGATTAGTGTGTGAATAGTCAGGAGTACTCATACACTTTTTCTTTTAAAATTTTATTTTAGATGTGAACTTATTTAAAAACAAAGATATGTCCGTACAACGTCAAGAAGGTATTTTCACTAGGAGCATTACACCAAGTAAATTCCCAACAAAAGTGATCAATTTATCACCCTTTGAAAATAAAGGTAAAGAATTATATATGAAGATATGAATTCAGTATCTAATTACCTAGAATAGTTTTAAAGTATGCTTTTTCATTTACTCTTTATGCATCTTACTTTTTTTCAGAAATATCTTAGGAAAATTCTTACAAACATAAAAATAAAATTGTTTTAATTCATCCTTTTTATTGGCAGCATGATACTTCATAGTAAGAACACTTTATTCAATCATTCTGTTAAAGAGCAATGACATTTTAGGGTTGAGATTTCTTATTAAAGTGCACATGGATTTTTAACGTTAAATGATATTTCCAGATTGCTTTCCTAAAGGGCTAATAAATTAACATTTTCATTTGGCAATCTTTAGGGAAAATTCTTTTCTCTGCATAACCATCTGCAATATGGATTGCTGGGTTTTTTTCTCATTTATACCCATCTGAAAGTTACTAAATTATATCTCACTCTTATTTTAATTTTTATTTCCCTATTTGTTAGTGTTTTACTACTCCATATCTACCCTAAAACTTTAAAAAGCATAAAACAGTAACCACTTAGGTAACTGATGATTGTCTTGGCTGGGATAGCATGCATTTTTGGTCAAATTATCAGTTCACCCACATGTATAGCAGTTGACTGGCTGTTGTTTGAGACAATGATGTATAGAGTGGGCCCATTCAGTAAACAGAAACTTCACTGGTTGTTCAAAAAGAAAGCCAGAGGGCCAGGTGTGGTGGCTCACGCCTATAATCCCAGCACTTTGGGAAGCTGAGGCAGACAGATCATGAGGTCAGGAGACCATCCTGGCCAACATGGTGAAACCCTGTCTCTACTAAAAATACAGAAATTAGCTGGGCATGGTGGCACGTGCCTGTAGTCCCAGCTACTTGGGAGGCTGAGGCAGGAGAATCGCTTGAATCCAGGAGGTGGAGGTTGCAGTGAGCCAAGATCACGCCACGGCACTCCAGCCTAGCAACAGAGCAAGACTCCATCTCAAAAAAAAAAAAAAAAAAAAAAAAAAAAAGGTAGATGACTAAGTATAAAGTTGTTAACTTGGTAACTGAAAGTATTAAAAGAATTCTAAGGTTACATGGAGGAAGCAATTACAGAAAGGAATTGCCATACCCAGAACTGAAGGAGATCTCTGCATAAGGTATAGATTGGATGGTGCTAGTGTCCCTGATTCTGTGGTGGGACCTTGGATCCATACTTCTGAAGGAGGTGCCCTGGCCATCTACTGCTAGTTTCTAAGCAGGGAGGAATAATAAAACTGGTTCTGCAAATATTGGAAAAAAATGCAAACTCTTTGTTGCCATGGGAGGAATTGCTACTTCTGGGATAAGGAAACAATACTGAGATGTTCTTCACAGAAACTGAAAAGAGACAGGAAGCTCTCAAAGCCCACCAGAAACAAATGAGAAGAACAAGTCTGTCCTTTTTCCTCCAAATTTGCAGTTTTCCTCTATCTAGTCTATCTTGTACAGCCTGCCTTGGAGCTACTTTGCAAAGCAAAAATGTGGTCTGCAGAATCCCAGATCCCATATCATAAAGCAGAGTTTAGAAGGGTGGTTTGGTGACTGAACTTAATAACTGGCCCAGGAGGTGAGTTGGCTGCATGTTTCTCATCATCCAACGAACTAGCTAGGAGTCTTCAAGTTCTAAGAGCAGCATGCAGGCAAGCCTCAATGTATAAGCAGTTTTGAAGTCTCTGCTCACGTTCGTTTACTTTTGTCATATTCACCACAGTCATATAACTAAGACCAGAGTTAGTATAGAAGAACATCAATACAAGTAGGCAAGAACACAGAGACCATCACTGAAATTAATCCACCACCGTGTTCCTGCTGATTGAGAATATTCATGGCCCTCCCACATGCAAAATAGAATCAGCTCTTCCCAGTACCCCACAAAATCTTATCCAATTTTGGCGTCAGTACCAAAGACCACGATATTCTGATACATATAATCATTTTCAGAGGCAGCTTCTATGATATGGCATCTTCTGATACAGAGTTTTTTTGAAATGTCACTTGTCTCTCCCAACACACACACACACACACACACACACACGCAATGTAACAGTGGTGAGACAGGGACAGACCGCAGAAGACATTCCCATTAACAAAAAATGGGGAGAAACGAAGGCAGATATGGCAGTCAGTAATCCATACAATAAGGTCACCTATTTCACCATTCAATAGCATTATAATTTTCTCAGTAAAAACATACATGAAAAAATAAATGAACCAGGATGTTGGAGGATACCAGAATGGAATGCAGACTGGGGCAAATGGAATCGATCATTTCTAGTCTCTGTTTTCTTTATTTCTGCTTTGATCTTCATTTTTTTTCTTCTGTTAGATTTATGCTTAGTTCTGCTTTTACTACTTCTGTAAAGTGTAATTTTAGGTTGTTTATTTGATTCTTCTTTTATGATGTAGGCATTTAATGCTATAAACTTTCCTCTTAGGACTACATTTTCTGCATCCCATAAGTTTTTGTATGTTATGTTTTTATTTTCTTTTGTCTGTAGATATAGTTAAATTTCCCTTTTTAATTTCCTCCTTGACACAATAGTTCTTCAGGAGCATATTGTTTAATGTTTCAAAGATCTATTAAGTTTCTTTTTATTCTCCTGTTACTGATATGTAGTTAATATTTGATGTAATTTTGATCTTACATTGTTAAGACCTCTTTTGTGGCCTAACATATGATCTATTCTGGAGAGTATTCTTTGTGCACTTGAGAAGAATGTGTATCCTGTTACTGTTGGATAGAACATTGCGTAATTGTCTGATAAACATGCTTTATCTTATGTGTAGTTCAAGTCCAGTGGTTATTTATTTTCTATCTGGATGACCTGTCTCTTGTTCAATAGTTGGGGATATTGAAATTCCCTACTATTATTTTGTTGCAGTCTATGTATCCTTTCAGGTTTTTTTAAACGTTTGCTTTATATATTTAGATGCTTTGATGTTGTGTGCATATATACTGTGTGAGTATTAAAAACAATTACAAATGTCATCTATTGCATGGCTAACATATTTTCTAAATTTTTCTAGAGGAAACTTATGAGTACTCTTCACCCTATGTGATTGCACCTTCAAAAGCAGTTTATAGAACATATAGGGCTAGTTCAAGCTTTTCTAAAGACATCCATCTTCCTTTACTGAATCAACTCCCTTCAGGTAACTTTTAATATTTTTAGTGTACAGTGTGATTTTTAAAATAAAGCTATAACTAAATGTAAATAACCAAGTTGTAATAGCTTCAGTCATATAACAGTTTAGCAAAACATAAATGAAAGTAAGTTGTGAGTTAAGTTTATCTAACATTTGTTCATTCTTAGCGATGAGTAGTGTCCCTGGCATTTCTCTTCCCCTTCTCCATTGTGACTAACTTGGAGCTCCATTTTGGTTCTCCACCTTTTTGTCTTGTTCACTACTATAGATTTTGTGGATGACTGAGATAAACTCATTTTATAATCTCTTTCTTATATTTATATGTCCCTCTTTTATTCAACCCCAGGGAGAGCATACAATAGAAATACAGCATAAGGATAGGTGAGAAGAAAAATAAATCATATGTTTAGTTTTTCCCTTCCCTTCATTATCATCTTCCTAGGCTTTTAACTCCATTAATATCTGAGAACTAAGATTTGATTCTTATCTGTCACTCCAGAGGCATCATTATGTAATTATCACCCTGGTACATTTTCTACAGTTAACTAAGTTTGAATTTTATTTTATTTTATTTTATTTAGAAACGGAGTCTTGCTCTGTCGCCCAGGCTGGAGTGCAGTGGCATGATCTCAGCTCACTGCTACCTACGCCTCCTGGGTTCAAGTAATTCTCCTGCCTCAGCCTCCTGAGAGTTTGAACTTTTTAAAAAATGTAAATGATTTTTCTTTGATTTATTCTGTGCTCTAAAATAAATATCCATGGCACTTTCTATTCATAAAGGTTCTAAGTAAAAAATCAACAGGAAATGCAGAAAGTTGACTATTACTTTTGTTTTATTTTTTTACTACATGCAATATAAAAGGAAAAAGAAAACAATAAAAAGATATTTGGGCTTGCTTCTGGGGAAGCAAATGAATGTAAGCAAAGAAAGTGAAATCCATTTTCTTTCCTAGTGAGCTAGAAGAAAAAATGGTCAGAAATTATATATGACAATTATATATATTAAAATAATAAGCAAAATCCTGGGCTTCAGTGGATACAAAATAAAGTTAAAAGATATGCTAGGACTCAAAAGGGGAGTTTTATTGGTTGGAATGCCTAGCTTTTTATAGCTTCTCAAGCTGCGTCAGTAATTGTTCATTATATTTTAGATAAATGTAATTGATTTGGGGTTCACCTGTTACTTCATATCACCTACAATACTTCTTTTCATTAATGTAGCTACTGGTTTTTCCTATAATTTGGGGTTTTATCTAAGCCCAAGTCTTTTATTTGATGAATATACTAATTATAAGCAGTAATAATAATGCTTAAAGAAAACAAAGAGGAGAATAAAATTAATAAATGGTCTAAATAATCTATTATATATACTTTTACTTTATGATTAGAGAGCAATAATAATGTCTTCTGTTATGGATTGAATGAAAATTATAATAGCATAAACTTTTAAAAAAGTTTTCATGAAAGCATTTGGCCTTTGAATCTAAAAATAATGGCAGATATACATTTTTCAAGCAAACACTTGCCTTAAGGAATGGAAGAATTGAATGTTTCATTTCTGTGCAAAAAGTATACTGAGGAAAGTCAACATATTAATGTAAAATTTTACTCACTAATTTTGAGAAAGTACCATTCAAATGTTTCACATTCTGCTTTTAATGTCAGCATCTTTCCTCCAAATAAGCAGGTGTTGAAACTAGTTTTAATTACATAGTTTTGTTTTTAGCAAAGTTCAAAATATGTATCTTTACAATTGTATTTCTAGTATCTCCTTCTTAATTATAGCACTAGATTTCTCATTGTGGGAATAATAAACTTCTTTTTAAATAAAATGATATAATGTTTCATATAGAGATAAAAACTATCTAAAAATTTGCATTTTTGCATTTATTTGCATTTTTTGCTGTCCTGCAAAAAGGCTCATTCTCTGACACTTTTATCTATGCCATTTAGTCTTTATTTGTTTTCATATTTTTACTTTTATTTTAGATTCAGGGGGTACATGTGCAGGTTTGTTACATGGGTATACTGCATGACATTGAGGTTTGGGATATGACCGGTTGCATCACCCAGACACTGAGAACAATGTCCAATAGGCAATTTTTCAGCCCGTGACCCCTCTCTCTCCAGACTAGGGATCTCCAGTGTTTATTGTTCCCGTATTTATGTCCATGCTTTCCCAAGGTTTAGCTCCTTCTTGTAAGTGACAGCATGTGGTATTTGATTTTCTGATCCTATGTTAATTTGCTTTAGTCTTTCTTTTTCTTGATTTGTACTCTTATAATGCACTCTTAAAAATATCAAATACCAGGCAAGAAAAAAATCAGAGAGAAAATATTTGTGTCAGGTAAGCTGCTTTATCTAAATTACTGAGAAAAAGTTGTAAGGAAACTGTGTTTTAGAAGACTAAGATTTATCTTAACTTTTTAAAAGTTGAAATTACTTAATTCTCCACATAATTTAATAACACTGTTCTCATTTTTTTAGGGCATTCGAAAGTTGTTACCTTAAACCAAAAAACTATTGAATTTACTCTGCCTTCTGTGACCAACACAATTGGAAAACCTACCTATAAAGGTAAAAGAATCACTACAATACAGACATATGAAATAAAGCTTTATGCTATATTCTCATTGTCTCTCTTTACCAACCTCAAACCTCTAGGCTTCCTCCTCCAAACAACCAATCTTATGAGTAAGGTATCATTTCCCAAACCTTTCTTCAAACATGTAAAAATATATATGTAAACAGTGGTTTGTGGTTCTGAATAACAACAGGCTTATATGCTTATATCCTCCTCACTTTTAAATTGATAGAAATTTCTTTCATCTGTCACATTTTTAAGCTGCTGCATGATATTCTACAATGTGAATGGGTCCTAATTTATTCAATGATTCCTCTACTGAATAACATTTTATTATCGTTTTTTGCCACTACAAGCAATGGTGCAATAAATACCATTGTTCATATATATTTATATCACAGTGATTGCATTTCTATAAAAAAGAACATGTAAGTGAGGTTGGTGCATTAAAGGTATATATCATTTTAATTTTAATAGATATTAGAAAACTTTTCAAATTACTATAGCTAGTAGTTCTGCTAGTAAATGCATGAAATGCCTATTTCCAAGCACCTAAGCCAGAAATAGACTTTTCATGCATTGGAAATATTAAGAATATTAAGTAATATTGTTAAGATGTCAGTACCACTCAAAGTGATCTAAGGATTCAGTGCAATCTCTATCGAAATCCCAAATGCTTTTTTTTTTTTACAGAAAAAAGTAAGTTTTTTTTTTTTTTTTTTAAATTCATACAGAATCTTAAGGCAGCAGTCTCCAACCTTTTTGGCAGCAGGGACCGGTTTCATGGAAGACAATTTTTCCACGGAATGGTGGTGGGGGAATTATTTTAGGATGATTCAGGTGCATTACATTTATTGTGTACTTTATTTCTATTATTATTACACTGTAATATATAATGAAATAATTATACAATTCACCATAATGTAGAATCAGTGGTAGCCCTAAGCTTGTTTTTCTGCAACTAGGTAGTCCCATCTGGGGGTGATGGGAGACAGTGGCAGATTATCAGGTATTAGATTCTCATAAGAAGCACACAATCTAGATCCCTCGCATGTACAGTTCACAATAGGGTTTGCACTCCTATGAGAATCTAATGCTGCCACTGATCTGACAGGAGGCAGAGCTCCAGTGGTAATGCCAGCAATGAGGAACAGCTGTAAATACAGATGAAGCTTCCCTTGCTCACCCACTGCTCACCTCCTGCTGTGTGGCCCAGTTCCTAACAGGCCACAGACCAGGGGTTAGAGACCCTGTCCCTATGAGGGACCCGATAGTCAGAATAACCTTGATAAAGGACAAAATTGAAAGACTTACACTTCATAATTTCAAAACTTACTGCAAAGCTACAATAACCAAAATGATATGGTATTGGCCTAAAGACAAACACATATTTTGATGGAATAGGATAGAGAGCTAAGAAATAAACCCTCACATATATGAGACAAATGACAATAGAATCACAATGTATCAAAATCTATGGGAAGCAGCAAAAGTAATTCTAAGAGGGAAGCTTATACCAATAAATGACCACATTATAAAAGAAGAAAGATTCCAAATAAATAGTCTAATGTTATGCTTCAAGGAGTTGGAAAAAGAAAAACAAGCCAAAGTTGACAGAAGGAAAGAAATAATAAAGATTAGACCAGAATTAAATCAAATAGAGAATAGAAAAACTATAGAAAAAAATCAATAAAACTAAGAGTTGTGTTTTTTTTGAAAAAAATAAAATAGACAAAATCCTTGCTAGGCAAACTAAGAAAAGTAGAGAAAAACTCAAATAAAATCAGAAATGAAAATGAAGACATTATAGTAGATACCAAAGAAAGTAAAAGGATCATAAGAGACTAGTATGAAAAACTATATGCCAACAAATTGGATAACCTAAAGGAAATGAATAAATTCCTCAAAAAATATACGCTACCAAGATTCAATCAGGAAGAGATAGAAAGCTTAGAAAAACCAATACCAAATAAAAAGGTTGAAGAAGTAATTAAAAACGTTTCAACAAAAAAGGTCAGACCTTTCGAGGTGGCCTCACAGTTTCACACCTTCACATTTGGATCCTATGAAACATTCACAGAAGAATTATCAATGCTTCGTAAACTCTCCCAAAAAAATAGCACTAGAAGGAGTATTTTCAAACACACTTTATGAGGCCAGCATCACCTCAAGACGTAAGCCAAAGAAAGACACAATACGAGAAGAAAACTACACAGCAATATCTCTGAGGAACATTGATGCAAAAAATGCTCAACTGAATTCAACAACAACAATTAAACATTATCAAACTTAATTGAAAACAACAACAAAATTGAACATCATGAGCAAGTGGAATCTATTGCTGACATGCAGGGCTGGTTGAACATGGGTAAATGAGTCAATGTGATACATCACATTCACAGGATAATCTCAGATGATCCCCCTGATGATCTCAATTGACACAAAAAAGCGTTTGACAAAGTTCAGCATTCTTTATTGAAACTTTTAATAGTTTAGGTATAGAAGGAAAGTTCCTCAACATAACAAAGGCCATTTATGAAAAATCCACAGCTGATGGAGGAATATTTTCCAAGCAAATGGAAAGCAAATAATAATAATAAAAAAAAAGCAGGGATTGCAATCTTAGTCTCTGATAAAACAGACTTTAAACCAACAAAGGTCAAAAGAGACAAGGGCATTATATAATGGTAAAGGGATCAATGCAACAAGAAGAGCTAACTATCCTAAATATATATGCACCCAATACAGGAGCACCTAGATTGATAAAGAAAGTTCTTAGAGACCTACAAAGAGACTTGGACTCCCCACACAATAATAGTGGGAGACTTTAACATCCCACTGTCAATATTAGACAGATCAATGAGACGGAAAATTAACAAGGATATCCAGGACTTGAACTCAGCTCTGGACCAAGCAGACCTAACAGACACCTACAGAACTCTCCACCCCAAAGCAACAGAACATACACTTTTCTCAGCACCACACTGCAGTTATTCTAAAATTGACCACTTAATTGGAAGTAAAACACTCCTTAGCAAATGCAAAATAATGGAAATCATAACAGTCTCTCAGACCACAGTGCAATCAAATTAGAACTCAGGATTAAGAAACTCACTCAAAACTGCACAACTACATGGAAAATGAACAACCTCCTCCTGAATGACTACTGGGTAAATAACAAAATGAAGGCAGAAATAAAGATGTTATTTGAAACCAATGAGAACAAAGATATCAGAACCTCTGGGACACATTTAAGCAGTGTGTAGAAGGAAATGTATAGCACTAAATGCCCACAAGAGAAGGCAGAGAAGATCTAAAATGACACTCTATCATCACGATTAAAATAACTAGAGAAGCAAGAGTGAACAAATCCAAAAGCTAGCAGAAGGCAAGAAATAACTAAGAGCAGAACTGAAGGAGAGAGAGACACGAAAAACCCTTCAAAAAAATCAATGAATCCAGGAGTTGGTTTTCTTGAAAAGATCAACAAAATAAATAGACCACTAGCCAGACAAATACAAAAGGAAAGAGAGAAGAATCAAATAGATGCAATAAAAATGATAAAGGGGATATCACCACTGATCCCTCAGAAATATAAACTACCATTGGAGAATACTACAAACACCTCTACATAAATTAATTAGAAAATCTAGAAGAAATTGATAAATTCTTGGGCACATACACCCTCCCAAGACTAAACCAGGAAGAGGTCAAATCCCTGAATAGACCAATAACAAGTTCTGAAATTGAGGCAGCAATTAATAGCCTACCAACCAAAAAAAGTCCAGGACCAGACAGATTCACAGCCGAATTCTACCAGAGGTACAAAGAGGAGTTGATACCATTCCTTCTGAAACTATTCCAATCAAGAGAAAAAGAGAGAATCCTCCCTAACTCATTTTATGAGGCCAGCGTCATACATGTGTAGAATGTGCAGGTTTGTCACATAGGTATATATGTGGTTTGCTGCACCCATCAACTCATCATCTACATTAGGTATTTCTCCTAATGCTATCCCTCCCCTAAGCCCCCAACCCCTGACAAGCCCCAGTGTGTGATGTTCCCCTCCATGTGTCCATGTGTTCTCATTGTTCAACTCCCACTTATGAGTGAGAACATGCAGTGTTTGGTTTTCTGTTCTTGGGTTAGTTTGCTGTGAATGATAGTTTCCAGCATCATCCATGTCCCTGCAAAGGACATGAACTTATCCTTTTTTATGGCTGCATAGTATTCCATGGTGTACATGTGCCACATTTTCTTTATCCACTCTATCATTGATGGGCATTTGGGTTGGTTCCAAGTCTTTGTTATTGTAAGTAGTGCTGCAATAAACATACATGTACCTGTGTCTTTAAAGTAGAATGATGGCTGCCAGGAACTGGGGAGAGGAGATGAGGAATGAATGTTTAATGGGGAGAGTTTCGGTTTTGCAAGATAAAAACCATTCTGGAGGTAGATGGTAGTGATAGTTGCAGAGCAGTGTGAATGGATTTAATGCGACTAAACTTGTACACTCAAAAATGGTTAAAATGGTAAATTTTATGTAATGTATGCTTTACTAAAAATTTTTAATTTTAAAAATAAAAATGAACACAATATAGTTGTATCTTTAATGAGAATTATTTATATTTAGTAACAATAAACTTACTATTATTTCTATTTTAATTTCTTCTGTGAATTGCCTTTTATATTCTTTGCCCATTTTCCTGTTAGTTATCTTTTTTGTTTCATAGCAGCTTTTTGTGTAATAGGGTTTTAAAAATATTTTGATTTTTCTATCCATTCATGTTTACAGAGAAACTGAAAGAATTCTAGAAGGGATTCCCGTCCCTTCTAGAATTTATTCAGTTTTATTCTCTCCTTTTTGCTTTATAATATTCTTTATCTTCATATGTATATGTATGTATTATAAACATTAGGTACATATATTTATAAACATTATAAATGTTTAATACATAAAATATTATTTTTTCTGAACTGTAGAGGGATAACTTGGAGACATAATGTCTCTTTACCCATGAAACTTTAGTATTTCTTAAGAAATGATAATATATCATCACAACACAATTATCAAAAATAGGAAATTTAACATTGACTCAACTTATCATCTACTCCATAATCCATATTCAAGTTACATTTGTCATCATAATGTCCTTTATAGATTTTTTTTGGACTAAGATTGAATCTAGGACCATGCACTAAATTTGT